AATAAAACTTTAAATGACTGTGTTTCTAATCTTTTAAGTAACTGTTATTTTATGAATAATAATTGAGATCGGTAAGATCAATTTCTGGTGTTCCTCAAGTTCTGCTGCACAATCAAGAAATAGTAATTAATAAAGGACCATGAGTCTCAGCTCAGTAAGATTTAATACAAGTAAGCATGCAATAATGTTTAATTGCTTTTTAATTTTTGGGAAATACATTTATTCTTTTCAGGTTGTTTGGGTGCCCATCTATATGCCCCTAGAAGTGCAAAACACTAATAATAATAATAATAATATCTTTTGCTTCCTACAAACATTGTTGTGTGTTAAAACAACGTTCAGACCGTATGAAATTAGAAATAGATGTGCAGCTATGTCTTTGAATATAGAGGCTATGAAATTAACATTATTTAAGATTTATTAGGTACCTTTTGTTTCATCATGTCTGTGATTCATTAGACCTGGCTTGGAAATTAATTTGATGCTGCTGAAAACTACATAATAAATAACAAGATTTGCATCATTGTTCACCTCATGAGTGGATGGAAAGGAAACTTTGAACATTTCTGTTCCTATAACACAATGGCCTTCGAACAGCAAACGTGCTTTTAGTGTGTGTTTGTTCATGTTGTTCAGGATATAATGGAGTGATTTCTTGTTCATATGAAAAAATGTTGCCCTGCTCCAGACAAACGCTGGATGTATCCCTACAAAGTGAAGTCATAGTTTGATGGGTTCCTTGTGGAATGATGATAATTCAAGGGCTAATAAGCATGACTAGTTGGAAATTAAACTATTGAAACATTCTTAATTCTGTTCAGTTGTATACTCTTCCCATCTTTTTGAGCTGCTCAGGGAATACTGAATTTTCCAAGGAGCAAGCAGTGTTCCCTGACTGGAAAGATGCAGAAGGAATGGGGGAAATGATGGATCATTAGTCTGAATATTCCTCCCTTTAAGAAAGAATATCATCAAGTAAAGGGATTAGTGAAAGTCCTCATTCTGCTCTGCCTATTGGCAGACACTGAGCTCTAAGGGAGGTCTCCAGCTCACAAAGACACCAGAGGTCTCTCCCTTTGAAAGTACAAGGTCAAGAGTGACAAGAGCACAAAGACAGAGAGCTGAGCTTGGAAACCATTGTCCTTCAGACAAAACTCTGGCTGGAGTGGGCACTGGGTTCATGGCCAGAATGAGAGAAGACCAATGAAAGAGGAATGCGGGAATGAAAGAACACTACTGAGTTTAGAGAATTTCAAGATAATTTGCATGTAAATTTTATCAATTTCCTGTGGATTTGTGTACCTTTTGGGACTTCTTAAAATAATATGTGATTCACTCTAGCAACCTCTATCTTATGTAAGTCTTAGACTGATCCTTGGCAGCTCTGCCACCTGGAGTGATGAACCAGGTCTCTGCTTTTGTTCTTGCTGGGCAAGCAGGTTTAGCTTCCAGGTGCTTTTGCTTTCTGTATGTGAATGGTGCTAGAGTGGGAGTGAGAGTTTGATTATTATTTTTAACCTAAACCTCAAAAGTTTTACTTCAAAATTTATTGTTTCTGAATTCTCATGGTTTAGAGAATATAAATATGCTGAATTACTATATATTAGTGATAAATGAACCCTAGAAATTCTGACAAGCTCGGTGTTTGAAAATCAAGTATCAGAGAGAACTTTGAAAATATGCTTAAATGTTGAGGGGTGGGGGAAAGCAAACATGCAAAAATAATACCTATAAGTGCTCTGCAAAATATAATTTGTGGATATTTGTTGAAAAAAAAAACAAAGGCAGTTCCAAACTAGAAAAGAAAAGCAGAAAAATCAGCAAACAGGCATAAATTGACTAGCCCAAATTCCTCCTCCGAGACATATGCACTCAACTTCTGCATGTATCCCCACATTTCTAATTAAACGGGCTTCTACTTATTCCTTTGCTGGAGGCATTTTGTTTGATTAACAGAACGAAAGGTTAATCATATAAATTTGCCATCTCTCAGCGTTGTGAAGCAGGGAGAGGAGGAATCTCCCTGTTCCCCTGCTCGGCTGCCGGTGGCTCTGCTCGGTGCGATGCAGACACAGAGCTTTCCCCTCCGGCCCCTGTGACACACTTTCCTCCTCTCATCCTCGGTGGAAGGGGAAGGTTCCCCGTGTTTGTGACTGCAGCTGTCTTTGTGGAAGTTGGTAGATCACCTCATGGATGTGTGAGATGTGCAGGAGATGCTCAGTCTCCCGGAGGGATGGAGCAGACGTGCAAATCCCTGCCCCGTTAGGAAGGAGCTCTAATTGCTCCTACCTAACGTGCATCCATGATTAAAACACAGTTATTAATGAAACCATGGTGTGCTTGGAAGCAGATGGATCACAGGGGTTTTTTAATACCATGTTAATAAGATCTTTTATAATTCCTTGTCTGAATTTACCTGGTAATTATAAGGTAGCAACTATAATTTTCTTGGACAGACTATTAGAATTTCTTTATCTCTCTGTTGTAAGGACTGGTTCACACTTGAAGCAGCAGGCTTTCATCTCTGCAAGTGACCTACATTTATGGTTATGCTCCCAATAAAATAAAATTTAAAAAAATGGCAACTTTGAATAGACATACTGAGAGTCTAAAACACAAAAGTCTAATCCTCCTCTGTGACTTGTTTGCATTGCAGGGCTTTGAAATTCACTTAATCTTTATGCACTTTTGGCTTTTGGGGCTGGTGCAGCTGAATGTGGTGCCCGTGCAGGGTGTGGGAATTGCTGAGAGCACAAACCCACCCCGAGCTGCTCCTCTGCTGTCCCAGCCCAGCACAGCTGTCTCTGCTCAGTGGGGCAGTCTGGATAAGCTGCAGTTTGGTGAGCTTTGAGCTTTGGGAATGACTTTTCAGTTTCATTTGCTGTACTTTGAAAAAAATAAAAGAAAAAAATTGGTTGTCTGAGATTAGACTAAAAAAGCTTTTTAAAATGTTTGTTTTGGCAAGACAAGTAAGTTGTAATTGAATAAATCATTTGATCCCACATAAATTTGTTGTGTATTTTCCAAGGATTCTTAAACATTTCTACGTACATGCAGAAATAAATTTTGAGTAGTTTCTTGGCAAAACATCCTTTTTAAGTTCATATTACATACCAGAGGCTTTAAGGCATTTTTTTTGGTTTATTTTTGTGAGGTACTTTGACCTAAAAGAAACAAAATGTGAAAATTCAGCATAAATGTGAAATCTGGCAACTGCCCTCTTCTCAGAAAATATCTCCTGATTTTAGTTACTATTCTTAGGCATCTGCTTTGTCCATAGGATGTCCAGGGGAAGATGGTGTTAGGAAACATGTCTTGCTCCCCTGCTGCTTTTGTCAAAAATACAGAGGTTAAACTCAGCATAAATTGCATGCTGAGAGATTTCCAGGGGTTGGGGTAGATGGATTCTGGGGGTGGGAGATGCTTTTTGTTTTCCTGGAGCTTAGGAATGCACATATGAATCAGTCACATCTAAACTGACTCCCTGCATTCTGAGATTGTCTGAGTGGGAGCTCCAGCACTAAATGGCAGCTTCTGTGAAAAGTGTTTTACCTTTCCTACCCCAGCATCTACTCTTTGAACACTTTGTGTGTGGCCATTGCTGGGCCATTTGTCACCACTTTAAACACTTTGAATTGGATGGAAAATATCTGATAATCTCATGTGGATCTGACACTGCAGAAGAGAACAATTCTAAGGGTGCCCATAATCATAATTTTTTTTCCTGCTCACAAATTACCAGTGAATCCTCTCAAACACCTTTTGACATAACTGGAAACGCTGCTCTCAGTGGTCTAGAGGTTTACATACATCCTGTGTAAGCAGAAAGATGCAAAGAAAGGGAGAGAAGCAGCTTGGTGGGCTGCTCTGTACTGAGAGTGCCATGGGGATAATGTGATGAGAGTGTGCAGGTAGCTGTGTTTATACAAGGTGAAGATGCACATAAATCCACGGGCTGAATGATTCAGACCTGTCAAGTCTCATGCATTATGCACAGGACTTATTCAATTAGCCCTGCCACAGTGCCTATAACTCAGGCACTTGTGCTGTGCGTGCTTGGCCTCGCTTCCACTGCTCAGCTCGTGTTCCAGGGGCGGCTGCACAGCCTCTGACGTGGCCACTCAGACCGGTCCCTGCCCCAGGGATGGAGCCACAGGTGGCTGTGAGCAAGCCAACCTTCCCTGCCCGGGGCTGGCCAGGGCTTGGGGCTGTGGGCTCAGAAAACGGGGAGGTGAAAGGATTGGCACAGCACAGGGCTGGTCAGGGAAGCTCAGTCTCCGAAATGAAGATAGAGGCTCTGTAATGGCTTCACACCGAGAGTGGGGGTAGTTTGGGTATGGGGAAGAAATTAATGTCTCTGACAGTGGCGAGGCCCTGGCACAGGTTGCCCAGATGAACTGGGGATGGCCCAGCCCTGGAAGTGTTCATGGTGAGGTTGGGCAAGGCTTGGAGCAACCTGGTCTAGTGGAAGATGTCCCTGCCCATGGCAGGAGATTGGAGCTGGATGCTCTTTCAGGTTGCTTTCAGCCCAAACCATTCTGTGAGTCTATTATTCTAATATATTGATTAAAGTAAGTTATACTAACACAAAACAATTGCATTACCAAGTCACTACTTTACATAGGGCTAAAGCCAATTTTATAATCAACATATAAATTACCACCTATAATTTAAACTCGGAGCTGGTACTTGCACCAAGTGCTTTGTTTCCCGATGCGTCCCCCGCACTTTGTGAGTCGGGAAAGTGTCGCTTGGTGCCGGCTCTGCCCAGGCTTGTGAGCATTTTGCCTTTTGTATTTCAGTGCCACACGATGGATGCGTGTGAGCCACCGGGGCTCGCTTTTGTTCACTCGGATTTTGGGGGGATGGGCTGGGGTGTGCGGGGCGTTTCGTGCCGGTTCTTTTAGCACATCCCCATCCTTGCGAGCCGAGTGGCTCTGGGGCGTAGCTCGGGTGTCCGCAGCCGCGCTGACCGCTGTCTGTGTCCCCTGTGTCCGCAGCCATGCATCTCCTGGGGCTGAACTGGCAGCTGCAGCCGGCCGAGGCTCCGACCTTCAACAACGGGCTGCGCCCGCCCGGCGAGGACGGCCCGCCCGC